TAGAAGTACACTGCTGAGGGGAGCAGCGGGCGGGTCAGGAGAGGTCTGCCACGCCATGTGGTCACCTCTGGGGCAGGCGGGAATCGAACTCCTGCGGAAGTGGCTTTAGCTTCTCAGTGCTGTGCTTTAACCTGCTGCGCCACCAGGGAGGGCCCTCCAGTCAGTATCTTAATGGAAACTTGCTTTTCTGCTCGTCAAGAACAAGACAAAATTGTCCATACTTGCCACTGTGACTTGGTAAGGTTTAAGAGGTTAGCTAAGGTAATAAAATTAAAGTGTTTTAACAGACTAGAATTGAAAAGAAGGTTTAAAAAAAAATTTTAAAGTCTGTTTGCAAATGATGTCATTGTATTTTTGGAAACATGAAAATCAACAAACTGGTACAGATTGAATGTGATGAAGTCACAGGCTATAGCACTAAGATATGGAAGTCAGCCTACTTGGAGACAGAAATCACTGGAAGTAGACAACCATTGTTTTTAACTCAATTTTTTTCCTAAAGATGGATAAAGTCTTGGGGCCTCTGTGGTGGTGCAGGGATTAAAGACAGTGCCATCAAGCTGTCACCAGCCACTGTACCATGAGTTCAATCCCAGGCAGGGGAACTAACAGTTGGCATCTCCTGTCTCGCCTGCTGCTTCCCTTAGCAGTGCATTTCTATAGATCCAACTGTTCTGTTCCCCATTCCATCACTGGTGAATCTTCTCACACATCCCCACACCTCTGGCCTTTTAAAAAATGATGGATAAAATCTTTAAGAGAAACGCGAAACATTCCTAAGTGACTCAAAAGGAGTCTTGAGAAAAAGGAAGATATAAATGTTCTTGGATAAGGAGGAGTCAACATAAAAGAGCCAAGGGATTCTAAAATATTAAAATTGAAAATTTTAATGTAATCCAAATGTGATAGTGTATATATATGTGTGTATATATATTATGTGGTGTATTATGTGTGTGTGTGTGTACATATATATATATACATATATATATATATATTTTTTTTAGTGAAGCTGAGTTGATTATAACATTCATGTGAAAGTCAAGCAGTAATGGCCAGAAGAATATAGGCAAAGGAAATGGATGGTGGAGCAGGGAAAGGACATTCAATCTGACTATAACAAAACAAAACTCCATGATTAAAAACAACAGTGCACAGAGTACAAACAGCATCTGGACTAGAACAGGAAAAGTCCAGAAATAGAGCCAAGTGAAAATGGAAATTTGGTAAATGGTGGTATCTCAACTTGATGGAGAAAAATGCAGACTTTTAAGTACATGATGCCGGATTGCAATTTGGAAAAAGATAAAACTGAATGCTTACCTCATTCAAAAAACTAGGTTAAGTTCCAAATGGATCAGAGATATAAATGTAAGAAATAAAACCATACAAGTACTAAAGAAACTCCTTTATAAAGGATGAACTTTATAACTTAAGATTGGGGGGGCAGGTGGTGTGGGGAAGGGTAGGGAACGTAACTCTGGCTCAAAAATCCATAAACACTAACAGGAGGCCCTCCCTGGTGGCACAGTGGGTTAAAGCACAGCACTGAGAATCTAAAGCCACTTCCGCATGAGTTCGATTCCCGCCTGCCCCGGAGGAGTCCACATGGCGTGGCAGACCTCTCCTGACCCGCCCACTGCTCCCCTCAGCAGTGTACTTCGTCGATCTGCCTGTTCTGCTCCCCACTCTGTCTCTGGTGAAGCCTCTCATCACCCCTGAGCCTCTGTCCTGTAACCCAGTTCTGTATGCACAAATAAATCTTTAAAAAAAATAAAAAAAAAAAAAAAATGAAAAAAAAAAAACACACACTAACAGGAAATATTGATCAATTTGGAAAAAAAAATAACTTTTATGTGGCAAAAGACAGTAAGCAAAGTCAAAGATAACAGAAGCTAAAGGAAAAATATTTGCAACCTGTATGATAAAGGGCTAAAATCCCTATTATGCAGAATTCCTAGAAGTCAAGAAGAAAAGTAGCAACGTCGGAAGGAAAAAGAAGCAAAAGCTGGGCCTTCCCAGTGGCTCAAGAGGTGAAGTCCCAGCACTGTGGAGCTACTAGCAGCCACTGCAGCACAAGTTCGATCCCTGGCCAGGGAGCTGACCCGTCACAGGGCACAGCAGCCCTCTCCTGACTGACCTGCTGCTCCCCTCAGCAGGGTATTTTTGTAGATCCACCTGTTCTGCTTCCCACTTTCTGGTGAATCCTTGCACCCCGTCCCCACCTCTGGCCTTCAACCCAGTTCTTATAAATACTAAATAAATAAGTAAATAAAAGAACCACAGATTGGGTGGCTGGACAGAATTTGTTTTCGGAAGTGCAAGGTCAAGGTGTTGTAGGGTCGGTTCCTCCTAAGGTTTTACTTCTTGACTTGCAGACGGCCTTCTCCCTGTGTCCTCATCTGGTCATCCCTCTGGGAATGTCCTAATTTCTCCTTAGAACAACTCTAGTCAGATTGAATGAGGGCCTACCCTCTTAACTTACTCCTCTAGACTCCTTAATCCTAAAGCCTCCATCTCAAAATAGGGTCACACTTGGAGGCCCTTAGGTTAGGAATCCAACCTATGAATTGAAGGGAGTGGACAGATATGATGGCCAACAGGCACATGAAAAGATGCTCCTCATCCCGTGTCTCCAGGGAAATGCAAATTAAAACCACATGAGATACCAGCTCTGTGGAAATGACCCACATCTAAAAGATCAGAAACAAGTATTGGTGAGGAGGGAGAAAAAGTAACCTACTATACTGTTTGGTGGGATTAGCCTGGCCTCTCTGGAAAATAGTACGGGAGTCTCTAAAAACATTAAAAATGAATCTACCAGGCCCTCCCTGGTGGTGCAACAGGTTAAAGCACAGCACTGTGAAGCTATTGCAGCCACTGCAGCACAAGTTCTGTCCCAGTCAGGGAGGTGACTCACATGGTGCAGCAGACCTGTCTCCCCCGCGGCTCCCCTCAGCAGTGAACTTTGTGGATCTGCCTGTTCTGCTCCCTACTCTGTCTGGTGAATCCTCTCACTCCTTCGCCTCTGAGCTGTCCCTTAGTTTTGTACGTCTAAATAAATAAATTTTTTAAAAGAAAAGAAAATGTTCTCCTGTGAGTACTCGACGACCATCTTGTGCACTATAAAGGTGACACTTTGGGAAAAACAGTCCAGATAAGTGGGCCTCATCCTGGGTGTTTTAGGGAGACCCCTGCACCAACTCCCACCAAACAATGGCCCCCAACAAAGTGAGTTGGGGAGGGAGGCATGCCAGGCTGAAGGGCCAGCTGGTGTCCTCCCACTTAAATCCTGGACAGACAGGAAGGCGGGGGACATCAACTCTAAGGTTTGCAGCTCAGTATCCAGGAAGTTCAAAGAGATCTAGAAAATTCTTTGCAAAGAAAATTCACTCTCCTAACATACAGCCATTTCTCTTTCTCTCACTTCTGTCAGCCACGTGATACAAGGGGATTTGCACATGTTCTGCGCCTGTAAGATGAAACCCTGATGCAAGTGAAGAGTCCAAATGGCAGGTGAAGCCACTCAGCCTCCTTGGTGAAGTAGGATCTGGGTGGGGCAGAACCCAGGTGAAGTGGAGATGGCATGTGGCTAAACTCTGGGCCTCGCAAGCCCAGGCATAAGTCCTGCCTCCACTACCTAATTGTGGGATCCTGGGTAAGCACCCCCTTTCCTTTGTGGCCAAGTGGGGTGCTAGCAGTGCCTGGAATGTTCTGGAAGATGAGAGATCTTCTGTGCAGAGTATTGACAACAGTGCTGGGCTCATAAAAAGCTCAGGACATGTTCATGCTGCTGTTGCCATGGGGACGTACTGGCAGGCCCAACGTTGCCAAGTCAGGCGATTTGCAAGAGCAGCGGGGTGTGTGGTGTGCCACCTCCTGATGGCTGAAGGTTGGCCACTAATTCAGAAAAAGTGTTAAAGGCTGTAGAGTCCAAGCCGAACACATCAGAGGAGCAAACGGCACCGTGGGGTCAGGAGTGTACTGCTTCTGTTCTGGTGGCCACTCGTGGGTTCCAGACAGCGGGGTGCCTCCTTTAGGCCAGATGCTGGCCCAGGGCTGACACCAAGCCAGCCTTTGCCCTCAAAAAGCCCTCAAAACTCTGGGCCCTCCCTAGTGGTGCAACATATTAAAGTGCAGCACTATAAATTGATCCCTAGCCACTGCCCGGGAGTTCGATTCCCAGACCCACCTGCTGCTCCCCTCAGCAGTGTATTTCAGTACATCTGCCTGATTTGCTCCCTGCTGTCTCTTGCGAATCCTCTCACCCCCACCCCACCCCCACCACACCACTGGCCTATACCCTAGTTCTTGTACGCATAAATAAATACACTTAAAAAGAAAAAGCCCTCAAAACTCATTTGCCTTTTATCACAGTAACCAGAAAGGTCTGCTGCAAGGGAGGCATAAACAGGGCAGGGCCCCACCCGCATACCCCTGGGGGAGACTTTTATGTGACTCTCTCAACCCTCCAGGTTTCTCTGAAGACACTCCACTGGAATCCAGCAAGTTCCAGAGAAGCCCAGCTGCTTCCAACCTGTAGCCGGTTCTTTCTGGCTCAAGTCACTTCTTATTTCCTGCTCAAAGGGTAACAAAATGACCCATAGACACTAAGGCCACCACAGGTCTTGTGCTCAGATGGGCCTTTCCGTAAAGTCAGCCTTGCCTGGTACCAGCATTTGCCTCCCCAGCCCTTCTCCTTCTCCCTTCTCCTCACTTCAGGGAGGCCTCCTTGGCCACCCCAAACTGAAACAGCACACCCACCCCTCCAGGAGGCCATTCTTTCTGTCCTTGGTACTTCCTGCCACCAGAAATTTCACTGTTGCTTGCGCCTGTCTACTGATAGGCTGCAGGCAGGGACAGAGTCTGTCTTGGAAACTTCTAAGGACAAGCCTGCTTTCCAGAACTGTTTGGGGACAGGTGGTGAGTCGATGCAGTCAGGCGCACTGTTTAACACTATGTCATCAGTAAGGGATCGAATACAGTGGTGGTCACAGTAGGCTTTGGGTTTAGCCTGGGTGTGTTGTGGGCCTGTGTCATCACACTCTTGACGTTCGCACAATGATGAAGTTGCCTAATTCTGCATTTCTCAGAGGGTGTCCCTGTAGACATGACTGTACAAGAATAAACAACTATATTCCATTTTTATGGCCCCAGATGATACAAAGCCCACCTGTGACTCAGAGGGCAGAAACTGTGAAGAAAGATATTAAAATGACATTGTCTCTGACCTCCAGACACAGGTCTGACTCTCCAGTTCTTCAGTCAGGTTCTAGAAATTTCCAACAACCTATTCCTCAATAATGCAAAACTGCATTTCCCATTATCATCTCCTCTCCCATCCCTCCTTCTTCTTTTTTCTTTTTTAAAGATTAATTTATGAATGCATCCAAGATCCGGGGTGCAGGCCAGAGATGCGGGGGTTGAGAGGATTCACCAGAGACAGAGCAAGAAGCAGAACAGGCAGATGCACTGAAATACACTGCTGAGGGGAGCAGCACACGAGACAGGAGAGGTCTGCTGCACCCTGTGGGTCAGTCCCTGGCGGGGGATTGAACTCAGGCTGCAGTGGCTGCTGACAGCTTCATAGTACAGTTTCTTAATCCCTTGCACTGCCAGGGAGGCCCCTCCCACCCCTTCTGATGGCTGTCCAAGGTAGAGAGGGAGAGGAAGTTTCTCATACCCGGCTGGGGGGTCACTTACAATGCGCTCAAACTCCTTGGCCTGCGTCAGCTCCCGGGGAAAGCCATCGATGAGGAAGCCTGGGCTTTCTGGGCAGGACAACATGTTGTCACTGATCATATCTAGGATGATTCCCTGGGGAGGGAAGGGTGGTAGGTGGTTTCAATGCTAAAGGACCCCTTACTCAGCTGGTTCACTTGGCAGATTCTCTTCCTTAATCTGAGTCTAAACAATGTTGGGAGCAACACCCCACCCAACGCACAGATTCTGACGCCCTGGGGCCCTGGAAGCACTGCTGAAGCTGAGAGCCCTGCCTTGTGCCAGGGTCTCTTTTACTCATTGTTTCCTCCTTATAGGTAGGTGACCTTTACTTTGCAAGTAAGGAAACAGGTCAGAGAAGACAAAAAGAATAAATACCAGTTAATTTTACTAAGTGTTAAGTACCAGGGCCCTGCCAAGTGTGTTAGAGAGCATCACCCAAATCTCTATAGCACCTGGATATGGGCCAGCAGGGCTCATTTCATAGAAGAGGCTGACAGGCCAGGGGTACCAAGGCAGGAGACGCCCCAGGCCTCTCAACTTGGACAGGGCCTTCCCTGGAAGGCAACCCCCTTCTTGCCTCTGCCCGCGATCTCTCACCGTGGGTACCAGGAGCCCCTGGAGCATGATCTCACGGATCTTCTGGCCGCGCCGGGTACCCTGCTGGGCCTCCTGCCGCAACAACTGGCCCAGGCCCACGTGGCAGAAGCCGTACTTAGTTGCCATGTTCTTGCACTGGGTTCCTTTGCCACAGCCCGGGCCTCCCATCACAAAGATGATCAGGGGGGATTTGAGGATATCTGTAGGGAAGAAGGAAAAAGAGGGCTTGGAGCTTGTAGGGTTTGGGGGAGGTGATTTGTCTACAAATTAGTGTGTGTCCTTGGCTGACACTGGACACAGGTCTGCTAGAATGCCCACTTTTGCCGTGGTGTGTGTGTTTGTGTGTGTGTCCAGGCCCAGTGGTGTATCCAGGCACAGTATGTGCAGGCTGCTGTGGAGGAGGACGTGACCTTGAGCCGGCCAGGCCCTCTGCTCACAGCATTGACTTAAAACATCACAATGACTCGAATCCCACTTTATAGTTAAGGGAAAAGGGGCTTAAGAGGAGTAGGGAGGGGGAGGGAAATGCACTGGGCTATGGTGATGGTACCTGGGTGATTTGGTGATGGGAAACCCAAGGGGATTGCAACTGAGATGGAAAGGTGCACAAAAATATGTAAAAATAAACTATTATCAAATTTTAAAAATGTTAATTAAAAAACGGGGGTAGGGAATTGCCATACCCCCAGAAACCTCCAGTATTATCCTCCCTTTCCTTCTGACAGCCCCAGTGAACTCATTTTGGTCCCTTGAACACGCAAACTCACACCTCCCTGTTGTTCCCTGCACCTGGGAAGTCCCTGTCCTACTTCTGTCAGGCCTTTTTAAAGCTTCATCCAAAGAGCTTCCTCTTCCCCATCGTTCTGTCTCAGAACCCCACTTCCTCCACAGCACCACCACAGTCAGTAATAATTTCGCCTATTTGCCTGTTCTTGTTAGTCTCCCCAACCAGACTCAACTTCTCCAGGGCAAGAACCATTTATTTGACTCACTTGTTCCTGTACTTCTAGTGGTTGGCATAGCTCCTGACATAACATAGCAGCTGAGGAACAAGTGAAAGTCCAGCTACCAGATACATCAAGGGAGTGCTGTAGTTTATGGTGCGATTTTGGTGTCTTGTTTCTCTTTCCTTAACTACTTCTACGCTCCCTCCAGGGCCCACCTTAAACTCTCTCTCTCTTCCTAAACCCTGAGAGCTGGATTAGGCTTTGCTTTTCATGTGGTATCTTCTGGGTAGCGGTTACTATTCTGTGAGATTGTCTCCTCCACTATACTATGATCTTCGAGAGGACAGGGATCTGGTTTGACACAAAGACCATGGCCAGCCCGGAACAGCAGGCGCTCGAGTGGATCAGTGAATGGTTGAATCGTGACCATGCCTAGCTGTGGTACAGCCATGGTGGGTAAGGGGTGTGTGCACCCCTGGACAATGAGATGTGGTGCCTCCTGCCCTCAGCAGACCCCTTCTCTCTCCTTCCCGAGTAAGCGAACCACCCCCGCGATGTTACCCTTCTCCTGCGGCCTCAAGGACCTGGCCTTCTGCGGCAGCTTGGACTCCCACAGACCCATCCTGCCACCGGTCTGTGGGGTGGTCGCACCCAATCCCCACCCAAGCCTTGAGCCCTCCTGGCTCTGCTTAACGTCACAAGGGCCCCTAGCCCGATCATTTTGCGGGATGAAGTCTCTAGTGCTGGGGGAAGATATGAACCCCAAAAGGGCTCAGGTGAAGCCGCAACCACACCGCGACAGAGAAAGCAACTCGGTTGCTATGGTGACGCGGCTTTCTAGGACTCTTTTCCGGAGTGGGATGGCGCATGCGCAAAGTGTCCGCGAGCGCGAGAGGGCGTTTCTCCTCCTTCCATCCCAGGATGCCCCGCGATCCTTGCGCGATGACGTCACGGGAGGCGGTCCCGTACGTCTTGATTGGTTTACTAGCGCTCTATATTGCCTTGGCGAGTGCGTGATTGGCAGTAAGTGCTCAATAAGGGCTGGCGGGCGCTTGGCATTTCTGACACGCGTCGGTGGGTTGCGAGACCGAGCAGTAGGCTACCCTTGCAGCTCAGCCGGTGGGAGAGTTTCCCTTCCGGGTTGGGGGGCGGCGCAGGCGCAGACTTGGCGAGAGAGGCCACTTTGGTGGGCAGAGAGCTGCTTCCCGGGTAGCTTTTCCCAGGATCGGCAGCATCTTTGGGGGTCCCCAATCCAGGTCAGAGACCCTACACCGCGAGGGAAGGTTCCTCGGGACTGAGGGTCGCGGACTCCGGTAGGGTAAAAGGACCTGGATTACACCGGACCCGAATCACCGACCATTGGCTATGGCGGCCCTCGTGAGTATGAGACCGGGTCGACGGGTGCCCGGTGCCTGTGCCGGTGGCCTCTGCAGCCCCACACTCACCATCTCCCATCTTCTTTCCCCGCAGGGCCCCGGCAGCCAGAATGTCACTGAGTATGTTGTTCGAGTTCCTAAGTAAGTCCCTGACCCCACCTCCCACACACTCCCCTCAAAGGAATTAAAACCTTCACGAATTTGTAGACGTGCTTGGCATACCTGTGCCTGGCATACCTGTGGTTTTTCTTCTAGCCTGGACGCTACCAGGGTGGGTCTGGGGTTGAGCTGAGGCCTCTGAGAGTGAATGAATGAATTACTGCGTCCTGCGATGCAGTCCCCAGGTCTAGCAGTCCCTCAGGCTGGATTGCCTTTTCCCCAGCTGTACCTCAGCTGGGTGGATTCTTGACCATCCTGCAAAACCAAGTATTAGTATGTTCCTCCTTCATGATGCATTCTTTGCCTGTACTCCCCTGATGCCAGGACCGAGTTGCTGATTAGCTCCACATCTTGGGTTCCTCTAAGCCTTTGTCCCTCTTTCTGCTCCTCTAAAGCGTGGGATTAGGAGAGTATGGACCCAGTTTCCCAGACAGTGGTAATCCCTGTGTTCTTCTATGGGTCCCCAGCATTGCCCACAACCAGCTGAGCCAGGGAGGGTTTGCTCAGTGACTGAGTGACTGACTGACTGAGTACTGCTTCTTTTTGCTCCTTCCAGAAATACAACCAAAAAATACAACATCATGGCGTTTAATGCAGCAGATAAAGTCAATTTTGCTACTTGGAATCAGGTAAGTCCTGGTTGTGAAGGGGTGACAGAACTTGATCCTGGATTTGGTAATTGTAAAAGTTGCTCAGTTGTAGTAACTAAGGTTGTTTTGTCAGCTCTGGGTGGAGAGGAAAATGGTGACTAAGGCCTGGGCAAAGCTTCTGGGCATCTCTGTCGGATTTGGCAGACCCAGAAAGATGCCTTCTCCTAAAAGGGAAACATTTGGAAGTTGTGCACTCTGGTGGGCATTACTGACCTAGATTAATTTGGGAAGGGGAGGGACCTGCATTCTGCAGGTGATCTCAGAATCCTGGCTGTCAGAGGCACTAGAAAGAACTTTGAAAAATGTCTCAGTCTGTTCTGCTTCTACACATAAAATGCCATAGACTGGGTAGTTTAAAAACAACAGTTATTTCTCACAGTTCTGGAGGCAGGGATTTCAAGAATAGAGCACCAGCAGACTTGGTGAAAGAGCCTGCTATTGGAGTCATAGATGACCGTCTTTCCACTGTGTCCTCACAAAGAAGGAAGGGCAAGGGAACTTTCTGTAGTCTCTGTTATAAGGCCACTAGTTCCATGGTTATAAAAGCTTGAGTCCCACCGTGAGGAGTCCACGTTTCGGATCTAGTCCCTTCCCAAAGGCCTCCATCTCCCAGTCCCATCTCCTTTAGGATTAGGTTTCAACGAATGGATGTTTTGGGAACAGGACATTTGGTTTATAGCAGAAGCCATTAAAAAGGGTTTAATCCTGGAAATTATGTGATCTGGCACTGTAGGGCTGAGTGTGGGGGTCAAGGTCAGGAGAATAGGGTAGAGGTCATGTTTCAGGTGTGGAGTGGTAGGGCTTGGAGCAAAGGGTGATTGTGAGAAGTGAACAGATTCTAATGAATTTTGGAAGTGAAGTCAATAGTATTTGTTGATAGATTCGGGATTGAGCAGAGAGGGCCAGAGCAGAATCGCAGAGGGTTCTATTTACAGAGATGGGGAAGCCTGAGAATGCATTTCTCAAGATGCATTTGAATGCATTTTACAGAGCATACCCCGTCATTAAGTGGTATATGACTGTACGTTATGAGGCTACTTTATACGCGTTTCCAGATTCCAATAATTGACCTTGTGCTAGTCTCCTGCTAGATAGCTTAGCTGGGGATCACACTTGTGGTTGGGGATCCTTTCCTTTGGGAATCCTGAAGACTTTGCTATGTTTTTCTTTAGCTTCTGGTTTTTCTGTTGAGGCTTTCTGCCCTTCTCATTTTTGATCCTTTATATCAGGGTCAGCGGGCTCATTCTTAAAGGGCCAGCTAACAATGGTTCAGCTTTGTTGCAGGACAGTCCATTGTAGAGTGAAAGCAGTTACGATGAAGAGTAAATAAATGGGTGAGACTGTGTGCCAGTGAAATTTTTTTTACAAAAATGGGAGGAAGGTACCCCACAGTCCATAATTTTTCCATCCTTCCTTGAAATCTGTAGGATCTTTTCATTTCCAGTGACCTGCCATGTTACAACAGTGGGAAGTAATGAGGCCCATCTTGTATTTTTAGTGAATGTGTCAAGTAATGACCATTGTTCTTTTAGTTGCTTCCTTTTTTTTAAATGGAGGAGCCCAGTATATTAGCCAGTCCCCTAATGATGTGCATTTAGATTCATTTCCCATCGTTTGCAATTACAAGCAGTGCTGTAATCAGTGGCTGTGTGTGAGTGTGCGTGTGTGTGTGATTTTTATCTTTCATTGTGAACAGAGAATCCCTAAGGTAAACAGTACATGTATATTAAAAGTTAATATACACCCCTGAATTACTCATAAATTAAAAGTTAGAGACCCGCAGCCTGAATTCATAGGGTAGTCCAGAGTTGAATGTAGAGAGAGGAGAAAGGAGGTCCAGCACAGGATGATCTGGTTTTTGTTGTTTAAGCACCACAGTGATCCATTTCTGTCCTTTTTTTTTTTTTTCCCCACTTCTCATTGGGAAATAATCTTGAACTTTTATTTATCTCTTTTTTTAAAGATTTATTTATTTATGCATATGAGAACTGGGGTACAGGCCAGAGGTGTGGGAGGTAAGAAGATTCACCGGAGACAGTGGGGAACAGAACAGTAGATCTACTGAAACACACTGCTGCGGGGAGCAGCAGGGACACAGGAGAGGTCTGCCGCGCCATGTGGGTCCCTCCCTGGCTGGGGATTGAACTTGTGCTGCAGTAGCTGTGGATAACTTTACGATACTGTGTAAAGTTAGCCCCTTGTGCCACCAAGGAGGGCCTTGATCTTGAGCTTTTAAAAAGCTGTAAAAGCAGGTGCCCTGCTTAGAGGTTTTTCTCTCTGACCGCCTCAGGCCCGGCTGGAACGGGACCTAAGCAACAAGAAGATTTACCAGGAAGAGGAGATGCCTGAGTCTGGCGCAGGCAGTGAGTTCAACCGCAAGCTTCGGGAGGAGGCACGGAGGAAGAAGTATGGCATCGTTCTCAAAGAGTTTCGTCCAGAGGACCAGCCCTGGCTGCTCCGTGTCAACGGCAAATCAGGCAGGAAGTAAGTGCTGAGCGGGGCCCCCCAACTCACACTCCGCTGTGCCCTGGCTCTGCTGGGGTCCTTGTTGAACTTGGGTGTCAGTATAGTGTCCTGTCTTGTGGGGTTTTCTTTTTTAAAAATGAAACAAGTTGGGGCCCTCCCTGGTGGCGCAATGAGTTAGGACACAGCACTGCAAGCTAGTGCGAGTTCGATCCCCAGCCCCAGAGGAGACCCACATGGTACGGCACACCTCTCTTGGCCACTCACTCTCCCCCTCAGCATTGTGTTTCGTCAGCCTTCCTGTTCTGCTCCCTGCTCTGTCTCTGGTGAATCCTCTCACCCCCCTGCACCTCTGGCTTATACCCCAGTTCTGTGTGCATAAATAAATAAATCTTAAAAAAAAAATAAGTTGATGCTTATGCAGGAGCTCTGAGGGCAGGGTGCTGGAGACCCTGGTGCTGGTTCCTGGTGTGTGTGACAAGGGGCTGCCCCTGGCTGGGGTTTTGATAACTGGGCGGCCTTCGCAGAGGAGGGGCAGACTTGGTGGATGCAGCTCACCCCAGTGGAATATCATACACAGGGGCCCACTGGCACATGGCAGTGATGGAGGGTGTGTGGGCGGTGTGGCACAGTAGATGCCAAACTGCAGCTGAATTGTGGGTAGAGAGGGGCTCAGACAGACCCTGATGGTTTCAGGCAGGGAAGCAGCACTTGGAGTAGGATTGCCCAGACTTACAGGGCAGAGGCCTGACCCTGGTTCAGGCCTGAGGAAATGGTGACCTTGTCGGTGTGTCCACTTGCCCTCTTCTCCTATCCCATCCTATTTCCTCAGTGGGTTTGGGGTTCCAGCACAGCTTGGGTGGTAGAGCCAGGGGCAAATCCAGAGGTATCTGACCATAGGTCTTGTGCCGTTTGTGGCTCATTTGACACTGTCCTTCCAGAAAGGACCACGATATAGATCATACTGAGAACCTTGGGTCTGCTGTGTGAGTTGGGGTGCATTGGCCTTATTTTTCAGATATGGAAATTGGGGCTTAGACGATTGACGCTCCAGCCTGAACCATCCCTCCCAAATTCCTGGTTTTGATGGGAGATCCCTGGTGCCTCTGATAGAGGAGGGGGCAGATCTGAAGGGTGGTTTGGGTGGGTCAGGGCTGGCTTTGGGGCCAGGCCATGACTGTGTCTCCTGGCAGGTTCAAGGGCATAAAGAAGGGAGGCGTGACCGAGAACACATCCTACTACATCTTCACCCAGTGCCCTGATGGGGCCTTTGAAGCCTTCCCTGTGCATAACTGGTACAACTTCACCCCACTGGCTCGTCACCGCACGCTCACCGCAGAGGAGGCTGAGGAGGAGTGGGAGAGGTGAGTGAACTTGGGTGGAGCCAGAGGGAGGTAAAATGCAGAGTGAGATGGGGTGTCCCTGGCCCCCTAGGCTCCCCGCAGACAGGAGGTGTGTATAACGAAGGGTGCCATGGACAGAGGGAAGTGGCACAGAAGCCTGGAACAGCAATGGTGGGGGTGGGGGAGGCTAGGCACAGGGCCTTGAATGTCAGGCTAAGCATATACCCACCTTGAGGCCACCACTGCCGTGGGGTATTGACAGGTGTCTGCAAATCTGCCGACCTTTGTGGCCCAGATTAGCAGACACTCAAGGAGTCTGTGGATCCTAGAAAGTTTTTTTCCCCTGGGCTTAATCATTTTCTTTAGTTTTAACATTGTTGAATGAGTCAGATGTCAGCTGCATTCCTAAAGCAGCCCCTGTAAAGGTGCACAGGAAGTGTGCCCCACCAGTGGCTGAGCACCCCTCAACCCACTTCTCTTTCACGGTCCCATTGGCTTACATCACTGAGGTGTTCTACACGATCAGAAGCTGGAGGGCAGCTCCTGCTCTTTGCTCTTTTCCAGAACTCTTCTGAAAGCTCTTCTTTGCTTCCTTTTTAATATTTTCTCTAGAATTCACTTCATATGGTTTGGGGAGGAAAAACTGGAGCTCTAATTGAATCATGCTAAATTGGCACATTAACTGGGGGAGAAATGCCACTGTTTGTCAGGTGTGTACAGTCTTGGCCATCTGTAGTGCACCATTTCCCCAAGTTAGCTGCATCCACGTTCTTCTGCGACAGTCGTTTGTTTCTTTATACCACCCATGACTTTGGCTCACGTTCCTAATATAATCCTAACACTTCTCATTAAATGTAGTCCCATTTTAAAAACTTCCATGATGACAGTAAACAGGAATTTTGAAAAAGGCGACAGTAAATACGGATGAACATGTATACGTTATGTTGCCCGATGAAGGCTGAGCCCAAGAGAGGGGTTAGGACACTAGCACCCCACAGAAACCCTGAGGGGCTCAGCTGGAGTGGGAACTGAAGAAGGGCCAGCTTTCCCCGTGTGATTTTGGGGCACCTCACGCAGCATCCATGAGGCAGAGCGGCCCTGAGCACCTAAGTCTTGTCTGAGGTTTCCCCTGGGGCCTGCCTGGAAGAGGAGCTGGTGGGGAGGAAACCCTGGTGCCGACCACTGTCCTCCCACTGGCCCGCCTCTGCCTGCAGGAGAAACAAAGTCCTGAACCACTTCAGCATCATGCAGCAGCGGCGGCTCAAGGACCAGGACCAGGACGAGGAGGACGAGGAGAAGGAGAGACGCAGCCGCAAGAAGGCGAGCGAGCTGCGGATCCACGACCTGGAAGACGACCTGGAGATGTCATCCGATGACAGCGAGGCCAGTGGCGAGGAGGGTGAGGCCGGAGGGACCCTTCGGAGCGCTGCCTGATGTAGGCGCTCGTTGTAACCTACAAAGGTGACCGCGAGGCGCAGGGCGAGGGTCATGTCACTGAAGGAACGGGGCAGTTAGTGACCGTTCCCCTGGAACAGGCCCCTACAGCACACGCGTGGCCATGAGGGGAAGCATCAGGGTGGGTAGGAGGCAGAAAAGAGCAATGAAAAGGCCTCGGCTGTGGCAAGACGGGCAGGGGGAAAGCTTAGACTCGGTCTGTTTGAACGAGCCCAGGGAACTCTGAGCGTAAGGATAGCTTCTGGTGGTCAGCACCTGGCCTTGTGATGTGGGGCTAAGTTCGAGAAGGGATGGCTGGGGGCATGGAGTCCTGGTGGGTTGGTTTGCCTTCTCTAAGAATCGTCTAGCCCCGGGAGGAGCCTTGATGCAAGGGTGGGGGCTCCCAGCATCTCGGATGGCACGAAGCTGGTGATGGAGCAGCCCAAGCCGCCCTCCTCCCCAGGTGGCCGAGCCCCCAAGACGAAGAAGAAGGCGCCGCAGGTCAAGGCCGGCAGGAAGAAGAAGAAGAAGAAGGGGTCAGATGACGAGGCCTTTGAAGACAGTGACGACGGAGACTTCGAGGGCCAGGAGGTGGACTACATGTCGGACGGCTCCAGGTGAGGCAGGGCTCCAGGCGGGGGAGCGGGGCCCCGGGCAGCCTGGCAGCTGCGCCCCTCACCACTGCGCACCCCACTTTCAGTAGCTCCGGGGATGAGCTTCCAGGCAAGCCGAAGGTCACGCAGCAGGAAGAGGGCCCCAAGGGTGTGGACGAGCAGAGTGAGAGCAGTGAGGAGAGCGAGGAGGAGAAGCAGCCCGAGGAGGACAAGGAGGAGGAGGAGGAGAAGAAGGCCCCCACGCCTCAGGAGAAGAAGCGGAGGAAAGGTGGGCTGGCGCGGACCTTCTGTTCTAGACCCCCCCTTATCTGAAACGGTGCCGCGCTCTTTGGCACTGACACCCCCTCTCTGGCCCTGTGCAGACAGCAGCGATGAGTCGGACAGCTCGGAGGAGAGTGACATTGACAGTGAGGCCTCCTCAGCCCTCTTCATGGCGGTAAGACCCAGCCTGGGGGTGGGGTGAACTGGGTGTCTCTTTCCAGGCTCACAGCCCCAATCCTCATCTTTGCAGAAGAAGAAGACACCACCCAAGAGGGAGCGGAAGCCATCGGGTGGGAGCTCTCGGGGCAACAGCCGGCCCAGCACGCCCAGCACCGAGAGCGGCAGCACCTCCTCCACCCTCAGGGCGGCTGCCAGCAAGCTTGAGCAGGGTACGGGCCGGTCCCACCACACTTGGCCGAGACCTCTTGACCTCTGTGCTTTGCTCCCTGTGCAGGGTCTGAGGTCAGGTGGGGGGCAGAGGCCTAGGCTCCTTGCACCCACAGTCTGCCACACCCCAGGCTTCCAGCCTCCCAGCCGCAAGCCTCACCTGTGCCTCTGCTCCCGCAGGGAAGCGGACAAGTGAGACACCCGCGGCCAAGAGGTTGCGGCTGGATGCTGCGCCGCAGAGCCTGTCGGGAAAGTCCACCCCTCAACCCCAGTCCGGGAAGTCGACCCCCAGTAGCGGGTAAGTTGGGGTGAGGACAGTAGGGGTGGGGTGAGGGCCGCGGGGAGGCCTCGTGTGACCCACCTTTTCGCCCTCCTCAGGGATGTGCAGGTGACGGAGGACGCCGTGCGCCGCTACCTGACGCGCAAGCCCATGACCACCAAGGATCTGCTGAAGAAGTTCCAGACCAAGAAGACGGGGCTGAGCAGTGAGCAGACGGTGAACGTGCTGGCCCAGATCCTCAAGCGCCTCAACCCCGAGCGCAAGATGATCAACGACAAGATGCACTTCTCCCTCAAGGAGTGAGGGTCTGGCCCCCACCCCGCCCCAATAAACCACCTTTGTTCTCTGCACCCTCTCCGGCTCTTGAGACCTGCAGTCTCCCTGCCACGTGTGCCCACCGCCCCTCCGTCACCCTGCTCCTGAGACCAGGGCCCCTCGTGAGCAGTTCAGGAGCAGCCTGGGAGCTCTCACCCCGCCAGCCTCTCCTCCCCCTTCGTCCAGCGCATCCGCCGAGCCTGTGCACCCCCTGCCCAGGACTTTCTTGAGCCCCGGCTTCCACTTTGCCGATTCTTTCGACTGGTGTCTGGTACTAACCCATAATGGCTCAGGGTTTTCTTTTTTAAAGATTTATTTATTTAAGCATACAGGAACTGGGGTACAGGCCAGAGGTGTGGAGGGTGAGAGGCTTCACCAGCGACAAGAGTGGGGAGCAGAACAGATGGATTGACCAAAATACACTGCTGAGGGGGGCAGTGGGCGAGACATATGGGTCAGCTCCCTGGCTGGGGATCCAACTCCATGCACAGTGGCTGGTGATAGCTTGATAGCACTGAGACTTTAACTGTTGCGCCACCAGAGAGGCCCCAAGACTCAGTTTCGATGACTCTTGTTCCCTGAATCTGGAAGTTGTTGTTTTGGTTTTTGTTTCTTTTTCAGATCAGTTTGACTGTATCTTGCCCCATATATATATATATGTATTATATATATATTTTAAAGATTTATTTATTCATACAGAACTGGGATACAGGCCAGAGGAGCAGGGGCAGTGAGAGGCTTCACCAGAGACAGAGTGGGGAGCAGAACAGGCAGATGGACAAAGTACACTGCTGAGGGGAGCAGCGGGCGGGTCAGGAGAGGTCTGCCGTGCCATGTGGGTCACCTCTGGGCCTGGGACCCAAGTCTCGTAGAAGCCGCTGTGGTAGCTTAGTGCTGTCTGTGCTTGAACCCGTTGCGCCACCAGGGAGGGCCCCGCCCCTTATATTTTTGATCTGGCCTTTCATCCTTATGATCTTGGTCATACATCTTATACCCTTTAGGATAGATTCTTTTATCGTTTTGGATGTGGGACTTCTAGCCTAAAACGGGACCTTCCTTGGGAATCCTGGGTGCTTGGCAGGCTCGTCCTTGCATGTGGTTTTGCCTTGCCAGATGCACCAGGAGTTCTGACCTGAGTCCATTTAGTTCTCTGAGATCCCTGTGTAAATATAAAATTCCAGTCCCTGTATTGCTGATGCTGGTGTCTGCACCCTGTTTTAGCATCCAAGTGATATTTCCGGGCTTCCCTGATGGTTGTAGCCCTGCTCCGTGTTCTGTGGTGGGAGGGCTTTTCAAGTTCTCTTCCCAACAGTTTGCACTGAGCCAGTGTGGTAGGATGTCAGCCTTCTGTCTTGCCTGGGGCTGGAAACTTCGAGTGGAAAGCTTCCCCACCCAGTTCCACAGGCCCTTGGCTGCCAAGCAGGAATGCCTGAGCCATCAGGCTAATTCCCAGGAATGTCCCAGGTCTGTCCAGCCTCCCTCCCTGACCTTCCGCCAGGCCTTTGGAGCAGCAGGAAAGAAGTGCTTCTCCAGGCATTTTCCCTGCTCTCCTTGCCACATAAACCTTAGTCTAAGTCTCCATCCTCCCACCCCCCAACTCACCTCAGCACCAGACCAGATCTCTTGCATTCAGCAGGACCTGGGTTCAAATCTCAGCTGTGTATCTTAACTCGGGGATTTTTTCTTTCTGAAAGTAGTCTCAATGAACAGTGCAATAAGAACCACCACACCCGAAAACAACAGTCTCCTACAGAGGGCAGTTAGGTCACTTCCGGTCCTTTGCTGAAATAAAAAGGCAGCAATACCCCTGAACTTGTCTTCACTCACCTGTGGCAGTGGGTTCCGTAGGCAGGTATCCCGGGTTGAGGGAACAAGACGTGCAGTTTCAAAAGCAAATGCTCAGCTGCTTCTCACTGACATTCGCTCTACCCATGAGAGGCTACTCCTGGGTCACTCGTAGTTTATGTAAGTAGATTGATTAGCCCCCTTTCAAGGTGAGGGGTGGAGGTTCACTTTCCTGGGGTCAGAAGAACTGGGTGGGGAAGTCCTTGTAATCTGCTGCTACCTCTAATCGGGCTCAACAATCTCTTCTACTTTACATCCAGGGACCCTAGAATGGGGCGGAGGTCCTTGGGGTCCCTGCTCGGCTTTCTAGAGACAGGAGTCCCTGCTGGTGAGCTTCCTGTCCCTAGGCCTCTCCCTTTTCCTGTTTTGTCGCTGGCCCAGCCAGATCCGGAGACAGGGGCATGATGCCTTAATCCTCCAGGCAGGAGCCATGATAGAGGATTCCCTGTCAGCTGTACCATCTGCCAACTTGCCTCTTCACTGAACACATACTTGCCCCACCTGGCACAAACATGGGGTTCCTGAGCCCCAGCACTCTGCCTTTGTGTGAGAGGGCCTCACTGGGGGGCCCATGGAGCCCCCCACCTCTCTCTCTAGACAGCAGGTATGGTGGGGAGCCCAGTCACCCGCCCTGGGTTTGGCCTTGGCTGCCGCTACACCTCTCGTAAATCAGGGGGTGGAAGGGGTGTCAGAAATGGGGCTGTGGAATGTCTGGGTGGGATGGGGGGGTGAACTCTTAACTCTTAGAAGGGTGGGGTGTGGGGCAGAAGGAAACTGCCTGCCTGGGCCAGAGGAGAGGGGGGCTTTTATCCCACTGCAGTGGCCAGCAGTGAAGAGGTTATTTCCCCAGCCCAGGCAGGGGTATAAATTGAGGGCCTGGGGTGTCCCTACCCAGGACCTGCCTGTCACAATGGCCACAGGAAGAGTCCTGCTTGGCTCTCTGGTGCTTCTGTTGCTGCAGCTGGGCTTCAGCGGGGGCCCTGGGGCTCGAGGGGCCCTGGTGGCAGAGGGAGAGCGCTTGTCTGAGTCGGCAGCAGACAGAAGGATGTGGAGGCTACAGCTGGGTAAGGACCCCTGGAGCCCTGAGTGAATCCCCAAGCCTGTCCCCCCCAGACCCTGCCTCCTGTCAGCAGCCCCCTCTCCCCCACAGGTGCCCGCCTACGCCGAGCCCCGACCAGCCCGTGCCAACTGTGGAGCCTGCCCCTGCCTGTGGCAGACCTGGGCCTGGGCTATGCCTCAGAGGAGACGGTCATCTTCCGCTACTGCGCCGGTAGCTGTCCCCGAGGCGCCCGCACCCAGCACGGCCTGGCGCTGGCCCGGCTTCGGGGCCAGGGCCGAGCCCATGGGGGGCCCTGCTGCCGACCCACCCGCTACTCTGACGTGGCCTTCCTTGATGACCGCCACCGCTGGCAGCGGCTGCCCCAGCTCTCCGCAGCTGCCTGTGGCTGCGGTGGATAAGGACACCCGGCCTGGGGCCCCGCAGCTGCTGGAGGAGCTCTGTTGAGTTATTCCCTGGAGGCTTGGATTCAGAGAAGGGTCGTGGGCCCGCGGCCAGTAGGGAGCACAATAAACAAAACAGCCATTGCAGCCTCGCATCTGTGTATTTGCCGGTGTGTACCATAGCTTGCAGGGTGTGACCAGGTGGGTTCCCGGGGTTCCCCTGCAGGCCCCAGCCCCAGCAAACAGCCAGTGCAAAGGTGACAACTTGTCCATTCTCCACTTTATTCATAAGCTCAATGTGTCTGGGAAGCTAGGGGAGGACTTGGGGTTCCACTGGCTGGGAGCAGGTGCCCAGGCTTCCCAGGCCCCATGCCCTCAGGGAGGGAGCGGCAGATCACTGAGATGCGTCGGCCCCTGGGGACCCTATGCTCCCCAAAAAAGGACTCCTCGTCCCGAAGGATCTCGTGGGAGAAGTCATAACGGGCAGAGCCCCTGCAAAAGAAAACAGGCTGTGGCTAGATGGGTGAGGGCAGTTCCAGACTGGCTGGCGGTAAGAGCTGACTGAGTGCGCGCACACAGTGCTTGCTGATGTGTGTTGAGTGGGATGGGGGTGCCTTAACAAGGCTGTACCTAAGGATGTACAGGGAGCCTGGCTCCAGTAAGAGTTCCAGCCACTGTCCTGCGTCCTGGGTGTGCACCAGCCGCATGACGCTGGGAGACAGCAGGGACAGACCAGCTATGGTATCTCCACAGAACTGGAAAAGAGTGCATGGTGGTAAGTCAGGCTCTTGTCCGGCCAACTCACCCCCTAGCTGGGAGCTCCAAGGCGCTGGCCCCTGCCCACCTTGATGCTGTCCACGTGGGGCTTGATGTAGCCCTGAGGCTCCAGGTCCAGCACGTGCACTGGGGACAGCAGGGCCTGGCCAGGGCCGAAGGCAGCAGCCTGCACGCGCTGCAGTATGGCCCGGCTTGCCTCTGACCAGCGCGACTTCTCTGTCTCTCGAAAGCCGTGGATGGCCTGGGGAATGCGTTGTGGGGTGGGGAGGCGGGGAAGCAGGAAGGTTCTCCAAGGACTGGGAAAGGGGCTCCAGCACACCTCTAGCCTGCCATCAACTCACAGCCTTGGTCCTATCTATGCTAGACGCTGCCGCGCTCCCATCTAGGTCAGGCCTCAGTCCCCAGTACCAGTTGTCTCAGCTCCCTCTCCGTTCCCAAGGCCCCCGGCTTCAGGACCTAGCTCGCCTCCCCTAGGTCCCGCCCCCACCGGCTCCCA